AACATTGCAAAAGTGACGCATCTAACCTTGCAAGGAGTGCATCAAATCACGATTCTGTGTGCTTGAGATAGTTGGAGATCGTTCCCGGCGCCAGAATAGCAGTTTTCATTTTTCCCCATTGACTTATAATGGTGAGGTCACGAAAATGACCTGACCTCATATGACCTTTAGGAAAATCCGAGATATACAAGTTGTGAGACTCATAATGGATACTAGATCCTGCAAGTTTCATTTCCCTGTGACATCTCCTCTGGCAGTGAGGGCGTTGCGAGGTTGCAACATCTGAAGACCATGCAGAGGTTCACTTATGACGTCATAGGTCAGTGACCTGACCTGACCCAAAAATGCGGTTGGTGTCAAAAGGTTCGGCTTGAATCAAAGGTCAGGTATGCCAAGTTTCAGCTCTCTATCGCCAGCGTGTTCGGAGCTATCGCGAAAAACCCTATGGGGGGCGGCACGCACCCCTCCCCCCTCGGCCGGCGAGGGTTGAAAAGGGTTTTGAAAACACATATTTGTAAAGTTTTGACCATGAAGCAAATAATTTCATGCCAATAATGCCCTGCACATGCCGTGTCCTATTCCCTTGCAAAATGCAGATCCCCTACCTTACCCTGCCCTAACCTACTCTACCCTACCTTATCTTTGTCCTGCCCTGTGCCCTGTCGATTCCCATGCCCGACCTATCACAGTGCCTTCTCCTATGTTTCAACGCTACAATTTCCCCATGGCCCATCGACTGATGTAGAGTGACCCGCCCACTCCGCTCAGCTCGGTTGGACCGGGTCTAGTCAGTTTACGTCCGCTGGCTTTGCCCTTCCTTTGCTGCTCAGCAGGGAGAGAGTCAGGGCTGGGAGGGAGGTCCCCTGCCAACTGCTCTGCAGTGTAAGGACGAATTCTGCAAGCTGATATGTCCATCTGAAATCGGTCGGTACCTACCCAATCTCGGCCCCCACTCAACAGATCTGGCAGCTCGGTACATACCCAATCTCGGCCCCCGCTCAACAGATCTGGCAGCTCGGTACATACCTAGTCTCGGCCCCCGGTTCACAGATCTGGCAGCTCGATACATACCTAGTCTCGGCCCCGTTCAACATCTGGCAGCTCGGTACATATGCATACACAATCTCGGCCCCCGCTCAACAGGGCAGCTCGGTACATACACAATCTCGGCCCCCGCTCAACAGATCTGGCAGCTCAGGCGCGGCCCCCGCCGAAGTTAGTTGGTAGCACTGCTGCTCCACGGCGTACATTTCCTACCAGCCCATAGGGTTTACATGTTAAATGGCCTGTTTTCGGCGAGCGATATCTCGGTCAACCTTTGAAGGAATCAATTGTTCTTAGTCTCAAATGATAGATCGATGAATTTTCTTTCCACAATTCCTCTACCATTTTTCACGAAACCCAGCCGATCTTCTACGGCGTACAGGGTAAAGATTTCTCTGCACGCCAGCACCCGCGATCCGCCTCTCCGATCGTCGGCGCGCGGTCCTCGGTAGCGCAGTCGGTAGCGTATCGGGCTACGGATCCGAGGGTCGTGAGTTCGAATCCTGGGAGTGGCGCGTAATTTTGGCTAGAATTGAATAATGTAGATTCTTGAATGTTTGCATAATCAATTATTAATAGCTAATTGAATGTATCTGCCCACTAATCGGCCCCTAAAACCTGTTATTTGAGAAATTTAAGAAATGAATGTCACGTGCGCGTCATGACTGCCAACCATAAGCGCTACCATATTCTAGCTTGAACTAACTTTTCGCTAGTCCCCACCACATATAGTACGTTTTCTAGTAGTTATGCTAGAAATTCCTTCCAAAGTTCGTCCTACCCTTCACTCAATATACCCTGGCTCAGGCGTGCGCTGGGACGGGCAGTTTTTTCGCTTGGACTTTCCGCGCTGAATAATTCCTCGCGAAAACGGCCGTTCGGGCAGCGCGAAACGCGAGGAACCCTGCGGGACCCCGCGAAACGGCGAGAAATGCCGAGAGTGTGTCGCGCCCTTTTTCAAGATAGCAGCTGCCATGGAGACGATGTGCAATGCATCTATGATGTTAGGATTGCTATACATGTGCTTTTTAGCAAAATATTCCGTTGGGTTGTGTAATATGCTGTGAACAACTGATTGGTATTATATGATTTTTGTTTTACTGAGGCTTTATCGAAAACGCAGTACGTACAAATAATTTTAGTCGATATTTATGGATAAATAACTAAACTAAACGTAAATCATAAATTAATAAATAAGTATTATTGAATTTAGAATGCGTTACAGCGAACCATTATATGTCGCCGCCGGTTTTTACGCACGCTCTACGAAAACTTGCCCGAACGGTCCGAGGAATATTCCCCGGTGGAGAGAAAAAACGAAAGGACCTTTCTGAGCACACGGGAAATCTAATCGAATATGAACATTAGAACATTCTGTCTAACCCGTAGATTTCAATGTTAAATTGACTATCTTCGAGATTGAGTTGTGAAAAATGTGGGACCGATACAGGAAAAGTGCCTCTTCTATCTGAGCCTTTTAAAACCTGCGCCCCATTGGGCTATGCCGAGCAACCCGTCCCGTTGGGGGGGGGGGTCCGTTTTGGCCCCCCCCCCCTAAGATCTCGAGAACCACGCAACCTAGCGACAAGCGGCAAACGGTGTTGGATAGCCCTATCAGGGAACTACCTTGTGACCCAATTTGCTGACCCAGTTCAAACCGATGACGTCACAGGTCAGGTCAAAGGTCCCATTTTCACCGTTTACAGGCATTTCAAGAAATGCGTTGTAAAATCGAGTGAAATGCATTTCATTGAAAATCATCGATGGGGAAATGTTCTTCAAACACATATTTTGCTATTTGAGGTCATTGATACCAGGTCAGGTCACAGAGGTCAGGTCACTGGGGGTCACAATATGAAAGTGTCGTGTGATACATGTTTTATGGCCCATTTTACATGACAAATGCGATTATGTGGGTCCGGCAGCCTTTCGGGCCAGCTTAGGTCACGTTTTGGTCAAGGTCAGGTCAAGGTCAGGTCAAATTAGGTCAAATTTCAAAGTTAATATTTTTGAGTAAAGTGGGTATTGAATCGATGCAGCTCGTCACGGGGTATTCAATGGTGGTCTTTCTTTTGCCGTACGTGGTCTAGAATCGCTAAAAATTGAGTTCAAAAATTTGACATCATCATTTTTGAACAGTTTTTTCGCTATAACTTGGCCAAAAAACGAGATATCGATCTGAAATTCGGTATGTATATAGAAGAGCGCAGGGACTATCACATATATTCCGGGTTTTTTCGAAATTCACAAAAATTTTGATTTTTTTAGTTTTCCTACAAAAATCAATTTTTGAATTTTTCGGGGTCAAAAACCCAAAATTTTGAACATCCGAGATAGCAGTTTTGTAGCGCCGCTTTTTGTCTACTAGACCATATAAAGAACTTTGAAATTGCTTGATAACTGTAGATTTGGTGAGCGTTTCAAGATGGCATGTTTTTTGCTCATTTTTGCTCGAACATGACCTCAGATTGACCTCAATAACTCCTGACCTAAGGTGACCTAAGACTTAAAATTTGGTGTGAAGGTGTCAAATTGATGCCCGGGAGGGTACTGAAAATTTGGCGGCGCTGCGCGGTTTTCTTGCTATTCAGGAAAAACCACAGGGGGGGGGCCAAAATGCCCCCTCTCCCAACGGGGCGAGGGTTTTAACCCTCTCCGGCCGAAGGGGGGGGGCGGGTGCCGCCCCCAGAGTTTTTTTCGCGATAGCTCCGAACACGTTGGTGATAGAGAGCTGAAACTTGGCATATCTGACTTTTGATTCAAGGCGAATCTTGTGACACCAACCGCATTTTCAGGTCAGGTCAGGTCACTGATCTATGACGTCATAAGTGAACCTCTGCATGGTCTTCAGATGTCGCAACTTCGCAACGCCCTCACTGCCAGAGGAGCTTTCACAGGAAATGAAACTTGCAGTATCTACTATCTAGTATCCATTACGAGTCTCACAGCTTGTATATCTCGAATTTTTCCTAAAGGTCATATGAGGTAAGGTCATTTTCGTGACCTCGACCATTATAAGTCAATGGGGAAAAATTGAAACTGCTATTCTGGCGCCGGGAACGATCTCCAACTATCTCAAGCACACAGAATCGTGATTTGATGCACTCCTTGCAAGGTTAGATGCGTCACGTTTGCATTGTTGACCTTGTGTGACGTCATTTATGACGTCATCAAGGTCATATTAGTTTTTCGTCAATAACTCCCGATCAAATTGCGCTAGCGAGTCGGGAAAGCCACCAATGCACTCAGGAAGACCTGACAAATCGAATGATATGCGAGATGACCTCTTTCGGCCAACTTCGTGACCTGGGGGCGCTGATCTGACCTTGACCTGAGGTCAACACCCTTAGCTGACCTGAAACAAACAAAAAAGTATATCATTCGACGCGCCTGAGCGAGGCAAACACGATGCTGCCAAAATCGCGGCTCTGCGGCCGTTTTTTTGCGAAGTTGTTCACCAAAAACTGAACCGTACCTTGGGGCACTTGACCTGACATCAGAGGTCACCGGTTGACCTAGGACCTTAAAATCGGGTACCCATCTCTGCGTCTTGTGACGGCGCACACGCTCGTTTTTTCCGCGACGCCCTAGTTCCACCAGGGGCGAAACGGCGAGGGGGTCGTACCCCTCCCCCTCGGCCAGCGCGTATGTAGAAAACCAGTAGGTCCGGCGATGTTTTTTTTTAAGTGTTTTCACTATGTGATACGGAAATCGTTGGTTATAAGGGCTAATTTGAGGTCTTACTGAATTAGTCATTTCCACGGAACTTGGATTAAATCAGATCAATGAAACACAAAAAAAAACAGAAGCATTGCCTCGGGCAATACATACGTTCGTTCATTCATTCATTCATTCATTCATTCATTCATTCATTCATTCATTCATTCATTCATTCATTCATTCATTCATTCATTCATTCATTCATTCATTCAGCCCCATCTGCCTGTTGTCCACAGTGCCGTCTGAGTCGACTCCGGACGCTCGCTCCGTCGCTCTCTCTCCGTCTCTCTCCGCTCTCTCCGCTCTCCCCGGACGATGGAGAAGCAGCCCGCTGCGCCGGCCGACCCGGAGAAGGTGGACCCCGCCGGCGGCGGACAGCAGCCCGAATACCGACAGCGCGAGACCTGGGCCAACAATGCCGAGTTCGTCCTCTCGGTGATGGGCTTCTGCGTGGGGCTGGGAAACGTGTGGCGCTTCCCGTACCTCTGCTACAAAAACGGCGGCGGTGAGTGATACATACGAGTACCGAGTACATACCGAGTACATACCGTGGGGCTGGGAAACGTGTGGCGCTTCCCGTACCTCTGCTACAAAAACGGCGGCGGTGAGTGATACATGCCGAGTACATACCGAGTACATACCGAGTACATACCGAGTACATACCGTGGGGCTGGGAAACGTGTGGCGCTTCCCGTACCTCTGCTACAAAAACGGCGGCGGTGAGTGATACATACCGAGTACATACCGAGTACATACCGAGTACATACCGTGGGGCTGGGAAACGTGTGGCGCTTCCCGTACCTCTGCTACAAAAACGGCGGCGGTGAGTACTGAGTACCGAGTACCTCTGCTACAAACACGGCGGCGGTGAGTACCGAGTACCTCTGCTACAAAAACGACGGCGGTGAGTACCTCTGCTACAAAAACGGCGGCGGTGCGTGAGTACCTCGGCTACAAAAGCGGCGGCGGTGAGTACCGAGTACCTTTGCTACAAAAGCGGCGGCGGTGAGTACCTCTGGGGCATTCCACGTCAAATCGAACAAAAATCGGCTGTTTTGCACCTTACCATCAGCGATTTCATTATAAATTTGTGAGCGAGTTCCTGTGTCGCCCCGAACATTACATTGATGTTTTTTGCACATTCTGACCACAGGTCTTCTAAATATAGGGCATCGAATTTTTACAAAATGTTGCATCTTTATATTTTTGAACGACCATAACTTTGGTTGTACTTGTTTGATTTGAATGAAATAAACCTTACTGTTTAGGTAATTTCTTAAGCATTTGTTTAGAATTGCACCTACTTAAATATATGACCTTGAAATTTGCTTAACTCTGTTCTTAAGCACAAAAATTGAAATAGCAAAAAACACGTCACCTTCGATTTGGCTAATTTTCATATATTTTATTGCCTACCATATTCTTAACAACCTGTGAAAAAATTAGAGTGGGCCATTCATAAGTTTTGAAGAAAATGGCACATATGCAAACGTATGTTAGCACGCGCAGTGGAGGGGGAAGAGTGAATTTCGCCCCACCCCTCCTGTTTTTCGCCAATATCTCATAGTATTAATGCGAAATTAATTATAGCTACCTGTCCAAAATTGAATTGCACATCTCATCGTGCAAGCAAGAAGAAAATCGGTTCACAACTGGTCTAGTAATAGCGGTGTAAAGTGAACATCCTGTCGCCGCGGCGACGCGGCGACTCGGCAGCCGGCGCAGACCGCTAGCCGCCGCCTGAATTGTAGACTGTGCCGGGACGGAACGGAACGGTTCCGTCTTTACATCGCGTTCCTTACCGCTGATTACGTTCGATTCGCGTCAAATTTTGTGAGAAGACTAAGAAATGTACAGGCAATCTTATGGTGTAAGAATTTTGAAAATCGGTTGGTAAACAATTGAAATATGAACGTGTAGACACAAAATTGTGATTGCTGCGTTTCCCGCGTCGGCCGATCCCGCCTCAGCCGGCGACATGTTAACTCTTAGCAGGTCTCTAACTGCCATATTTATTATTGGATTAACTAGAAATTCCTCACACATAATCAAAAATGTATATTCTTTCGTATAGTGAAGATAAAAGACGTGAAGATATCGTTGCGTGATAATGTTTTCGTTGAATTTTTGGCTTCATAATGGCTAATGCATTTCCACACGGCTCAAAATTCACCGCAAAATACCGTTTGCCTGAGACACTTTTACTATGGAACTTGAATGCTTGACTACGGTGACTATGTATTTCCATTCTCGCAGAGTTTGGGATATCACTAATCAGCAATCATTCATTTCAGAAAGTGTACACAAGCAAGCATGTCTTGACTCCGTCTTTCAAGGTCACGCGCGGTTGCGTGATGTTGATGCATGAAAACGGCGTTTGCCGCGAAAGTTATGAATGGCCCACTCCAATTTTTTTCACAGATGGTTAGGAACATTGTGACGGACATAATATGTAAAAATTACCCGAATCGAAGGTGACGTGTTTTTTGCTATTTAGATTTTTCTGTTTTAATTCAAGGTCAAATGCATTTCAAGGTCACTTCAATTTAATTTTATAATTAAAAATCAAAGCCTTATCAATTGCCTACAAGACCCTGTTAATATCATTTTGATACCAGAAAAGGAACCAGAGTTATAGACATTTAAAAAATTGATGTGTGGCATTTTTGGCTATATTCGATGACCTATATCTCAGCGATACTTTATCAAATTTCGAAAATATTATACATAACTCAGTTTTGAACCATGCACAGTCTGCCTACAAATTTTCAGAAAAATCGAAGGAGATGACGGATTTCGGTGTTTGATTTGACGTGGAATGCCCCCTCTGCTACAAAAACGGCGGCGGTGAGTGATACATACCGGGTACAAAAACGGCTGCGGTGAGTGACCATCGTACTTTCATACTCTTCTCTCTCTCTCACTTATTATCCTTATTTTCCTTTGAATGTCAAATTTTCATTGCCTTTCAAATAGAAGTTATCGATGACTTTGTGAGACACAACTATTGTGTGATATCATTTGGTTTTCTATGGCCAATCCCTCGCTCAGTCGTATTCTGACTTCCACTTTTTGCTCCGCCACATGTGTTTTCTGATATTTCTTCCCCGTTTACCGTTCCCTGTTCTGTTCGTGGGGATCCAGTTTCTGACCCAGCTGTCCACTGATCGGTGGCGTTCCTCTCATCCAGAGGCTTTTTTGATACCCTGTGCCATTAGCGCTTCTGAATTCTGATTACCTGTTTCTCAGGGGCGTTTCTGATGCCCTGTTTCCCTGTTCCAGTGGCGTTTCTGATCCCCTGTTTCTGCGTTCCAGGACCGTATCTGATCGCCTGCTTCCCTGTACCAGGGTGTTAATGATCCCCTGTTTCTGCCTTCCCGGGGCGTTTCTGATCCCCTGTTTCTGCGTTCCAGGGCCGTTTCTGATCCCCTGTTTCTGCGTTCCAGGGCCGTTTCTGATCACCTGCTTCCCTGTACCAGGGTGTTCCTGATCCCCTGTTTCTGTGTTCTGGGGACGTTTCTGATGTCCTGTGTCCCTGTTCCAGTGGCATTTCTGATGCCCTGTTTCTGAGTTCCAGTGGCGTTTCTGATGCCCTGTTTGCTGTTTCTGCGTTCCAGGGCCGTTTCTGATGCCCTGTTTCTGCGTTCCAGGGGCGTTTCTGATTCCGTACGCCATCTGCCTGGTGACTGGCGGTGTGCCCATGTTTTTCCTGGAAGTCGGCATCGGCCAGTTCATGGGAGAGGGCGGCATCTCCGTCTGGAAACTCTGCCCGGCGTTCACAGGTTCGAATCCCACAGAGGTCCGATATTTTCGGAACACTGCACCGTCGCTGTTTGTTATCCTACGGCAGGTACGGGCGGATGGCGTTTGTAAGAAATTGACACGGAAAAGATGATGAAAATCTAGAAAAAGGAACTCTGATTTAAATCTAAGATTTCAGCTTTAAAGAATGCATTTTATTGTTATTAAAATCGAAGGATGACGGGCAATTTAAAGGTAGTGTGCCAGCTTTCCTGGACCGTATGGAGTTAATGGCCCAGATAAGGAGAACCGGATTTTTAGAACTTATCCATACCTTCAAAACTCATGGAAACGTCTTAAATTCTTCAAATTTTGAGTACCCCAGTGCGAAATTCACCCCGACGGGTTGTCGGTCGTACCCCAACCACATTTCACACCACTATGAACAATAAATGCACACACTGAAATCGCTATTACCGATATGCTCATCCAATCAAGTTTCGATAAACCCGTTCATCATCAGCTCCTGCGGTTTCGAACACGACTGTTAGGTAGTGCGGTAGACCGCGCCCAAAGCCAGGGCCCCGGTAACGTGAGGTAGCCGAGTCAGGGCAGCGTGCGCTGACCCAAGCCGGAGCCGCGCGTCCTCCCGGTGTCATGTGATAGCCCGGAGCTGCCCGCGGGGATGCGGTAGACCGCGCCCAAAGCTGCGGCCCCGGCTTGGGTCAGCGCACGCTGCCCCGACTCGGCTACCTCACGTTACCGGGGCACTGGCTTTGGGCGCGGCTTCTGCTCATACTTTGTGGTGCGGTGGTGGTGCGTCGGGCCGCGCGCTCTGACTTCGGCCAAGAAAAATGCGTCAGCTGATCATTGTCATTTCTGCCACTTGCGTGTGGTGAAATGGGGTCATAACTTATGAGACGGCTTTTTCATATCAATTATTTTACATAAAATCATATTTCAAACCATAAATAATGTTCGACAGCCAAATAAAAGAAACAATACCAATACAGGCTTACAGTTTAAGGCTCGACATTGTGTTGTCTACGATTAGACAGCTGATAACTCATTCCCGTACGTCGTATGGTCGTAACGCTATAATGACCTTTGCTTATTGTCACATGTGCGCCGCATTCGCGATTGTTGCCGACGCCTGTTTGCGGGTGAGCCCACTACAGTTGTTATACATATCTAAAAACCGATAAACTTTTAGGCGAAAAAGGCACTATTCCAGGCCCATTTTTGATTTTTTTTGCGATATTAGGTAAAAACAGAAGCTTCTTATCCTAGGAAAAATAAAATGTGAAATCTTTCAAAGGTGGCACACTACCTTTAAGAAAGCCAAACCATGATTACAACCAAACATCTACATACAAAAACTTCGACTCTATAGCGTAAGTACTGCGATTAGGCACACTTTAAGTTGTCTAGCGTTACATACTTTGAGCCATGAGAATATCAATAAGGCATGTAGTTGAAATGTATCGTAATATCTTACATATTAGATCACTTTAATTCGGTTCAGCACGAGCCAGGGTTTGATCTTGTCTGTGCCATCTAAAGAAATATCATGACCAGTCATTCGACCTTCAGTATCGGCCCGAAGTCACTGTCTCGTAGCGCCGCGCCAGCCATTCACGTGTGTTTATATGACATTGGCCCCAAAATGTGTAAACATTTTCAGAACCTGATATGTGAGAGCTTCGTGTAGCCACTATTTGGGCTGTGTGGCGATCTAATCAAGCCCTAAGACCTCTGGGTGTTTTGAATACATGACAAGCGCCTGTAATGAATTCCTAGACGTGGTCTGTTTTGTGTCCAGTTGACTTTACATCGCTGGAGACCGGTGGTGGTGGTGAAAAGCGCTGCCCTCGCTGGGGTTCGAACTCACGGCCGCCCTATTGCGCCAGGTATCGGACTGGGAACTACGGTGATCTCCTTCCTGCTCAACATCTACTACATCGTCATCCTGGCGTGGGGCCTGCTCTATATGTTCCACTCGTTCCAGGTGGGTACCTACTCCATGCACCCGTTCAGTTAGTTCAATTAGTTCCAGCCGTGAGTGATACCACGCCCGCTCAGCTGGTTCCAGGTGAGCCCATACACCCATCAGTTCCATTTCAGGTGAGCCGTCCCAGTTCATTGTGCCCGCAGAGATCCGGATTGTGTATTGCGTTTTGTGTTGTGTTCCAGCCTATTAACTGTGCTCGATGCTGCTGTGTCCCAGTCGCCGCTGCCGTGGGCAACCTGCGACAACTGTATTGTACTCCAGTCTGTTATCATCATCATTTATTCTTATGTCCATCCATGGTAAATGGCTTTTCGGGACAAGTGTCAAAGTACATACAAAGATAGAATACACATACGAAAGCTAATAGTAACACTAAAATGCACAACACCCATACGGAAGCACAAAGTATATGTTTGAAGACACATTAGTGACAAATTCATATCAGTCGCGTTCCCTCAGCCAGTCTCTCGCTCTTTTGCGACACAGCGCTGCTGAGCGAGCCCCTGTCACACCGGCAGGGGCGCGATTCCATTGGGCGGGCGCGCGGGAAAAGAAAAACTTCCGCGCATGTTCACTGTTTACCCTGGGAATCTGCAGGGCACCAGCCACAGCGGCTCTGGTGTCCCTGGTGGAGACATCGGATCGGTGCACAATGCCCTGGGTTACGTTGGACGGCGCTTGGGGGTGATAAAGCAAATAATGCACCTGTGCAACATCACGCTCAGTGATCATTGAGTCAATGGATGGCCAGTTCATGTCTACCATCAGTGGTGATACATGGGCAGACCGTCTGGTGCCCTTCACCACCTGCGCACAGTGGTTGATAACCTTTTGTAAACGGTGGCGCTGGATCTTGGTACACCCGGCCCACACCGTGGGACAATACGAAATGTGTGGAAAGATCAGCGTTTCTACTATCATTTTTTTCACCATCTCGGGCAATTTGCCGGTCATTTTTGAGAGACCACCGAGTGTGGCATAGCAGCGCCGCACCACGCTTGAGACGTGAGCTTCGAATGTGAGTCCTCCGTCTACTGTCATCCCCAACACTTTGACTGTTGGAGAAGGTTTGATAGTTGCATTGCCAAAACGAACAGATAATTGAGACGGAGATCGTCTTCTGGTAGATTTGATAAGAGTTAGATCAGTTTTGTTGGGATTGATTTTCAAACAATTTTCATCAAACCAACTATGCGCAGTGGTCACGGTGCTCTCAACAGTCGCTTGGAGTTCCGTCAAATTATTGGACAATCCCTGGTGCAAGAACTGCACATCATCGGCGTACATCACAATTTTTGAGCCATCCATATAAGACACCAAGACCTCGACTTGAAGCAGCTGGTCACCAGTCCCACTCGTCCCGAGTCGGGATCACTGATAGACCATGTCGTGGTCCGGTCAACAGATGACGTCACCACCGCCCGAGTCATCCCCAGCAGCTGCAGCGACCACGACCTGGTGGTGGCCGAGACGCCGCTGAGCAGAGAGCGCCGCCGGCCGGCCGAGATTACCATCCGCTCCACGAGAGGTCTGGTGCCGGACCGGCTGCGTCTCGAGCTGCTGCTGGCCGACTGGGCGGCTGTGTACGACGCGGTCAGCCCGGAGGAGAAGTGGTCGGCGTGGCTGGCGGTGTGGACGCCGGTGATAAATCAGCACATGCCTTTTGTCAAGATGAGGCCTCGTCATCAGCCGTGCCCATGGCTAAACGAAAATGGCGAACTGCGCGCCCTCATGCGGGAACGAGATCTGGCTCGTAGTGCGCGGTCTGACGACCCCTCCCCAGCTAGCCGTGAACACTACACAGCATGCCGCAATAAAGTCAAGAGAGCGCAGAGTGAGGCAAGATCTTCGTTCTTCCTATCGTCATATCATCACGCGAGGAAAACGACATGGAAGGACATCCGGCGGTTTTTGATAGCGCCCAAGGGCGGGGTTCGCCGGTCCGTCCCGAGTGAACGGAGCTGTCAGTGGGCAGACGAACTGAATGCGCACTTCGCTACGGTGGGGGCGCGGGTGGCGGCCACGTTTGAGGCGGCCCGGACTGGAGCGAACCGTCTGCCTCCGCGCCCGACCCGTGTTGTCAGTGGCGCGTTCAGGGTGCGGCCGGCGACCTTGCCAGAACTGTCCGCGGCACTCAAACGTATGTCAGCGTCAAGGGCATGCGGAGCAGACGGAATTACTGTTGGGATGCTGCGCATGACTTTCGAGGTGACGGGGCCGCACCTACTTACCGTCGTGAACTCGTCCATTGTGTCTGGAGTATTGCCGCCGGAGTGGAAACTCGCGACTGTAGTACCGATACATAAGGCAGGAAACACAGAGGACCCTAACAATTACCGACCGGTGTCTGTTTTGCCGACCGTTGCGAAGCTAGTAGAGAGCGTCGTGTGTACACAGCTAATGTCATTCTTGCTGACTCATAATGTTCTCTGCGATGAACAGCATGGCTTCCGGCCGGGACGATCCACGGAGTCGGCGATGCTGGATGCTGTTGGCTATCTAATGGATGGTATGGACCGTGGGTTCATTGGTTGCCTTACCACAGCTGATACATCCAAGGCCTTCGACAGCGTCCAGCATCGCCGGCTCCTGGAGAAGCTCGGCTGGTACGGGATTGACACTCATTGGTTTGAAAATTGGCTGGGCGGTCGCAGGCAGTCTGTGAGAGGTGGAACTGGAGGTACGCTACCCATTACTCATGGGGTGGTTCAGGGGTCATTGTTAGGACCAATTTTATTTTTATTTTATGCCGACGCAGTTTATTTTATGCTGTGTTCTGTATTGTTTGCCACTGTGTTATGCTGCGTTCTGTATTGTGTTCCGGTGCCTTATGCTGTGCTCTTTATTGTGTTCCAGTGTGTAATACATACTGTGTTCTGTATTGTGTTCCAGTAGCCGCTGCCGTGTGTCAGCTGTATTGTGTTCCGGTGTGTTATGGTGTGTTCTGTATTGTGTTCCAGTCGCCGCTGCCGTGGGCCACCTGCGACAACTGGTGGAACACCGAGCTGTGCTCCACCTTCGCTAACGGCACGGCCAACGGCTCGGCGGCGGCGGTAAAGACAGACCCCGTGGTGGAGTTCTGGGAGTGAGTACCTGCCTATAGTTTTTTTTTTTTCAAAAGGCCTTTAGCAGTTGGCTCTAAGGCATGTTTTCCGAACAAGCACGTGTTTTAGTCAGGGAACTGACTAAAACGTGTTTTTTCAGGGAACGTGTCAAATTGATGCATAATAAGGTACTGAAAATTTAACGTTGCTGGCGTAACGCGTTTAGAAGTTATTGGCGAAAAACGGGAGGGGGCAGATTCTGCCCCCTCCCCCAGCGGGGCGCGGGTTAACTCCGACTCCGGGCAGAACTGTCGACTCCGACCGACTCCAGCTCCGACTCCGACTCCGACTCCGCAGCCCTGCTTACACGCTCATAATTCAAATGTTTACGGGCTGACTTTCAATTTTCTTTGACCATATGAATGTCTGCACATTTCTACGTCTTCACAAAAGATTTGACGGGAATCGATAATAACCAGCGGTAACGAGCGCGATGTAAAGACAGAACCATCCCTACACGGCACAGTCTACAATTCAGGCGGCGCAGCGGCCGCGTCAGCTGCCGGGCAACCGCGCCGCCGCGGAGGCAGGATATTTGCCTTTACACTGTTACTTCAGAAAAGTTGTAAATGAATTTACTGATTGTTTGCACGAAAAGATCCGCAATTCTATTCTGGACAGGTATAAAAAATCAACGTTAATATTTCCATAAGGGCGTGAGTTATTGGCGCAAAACAAGAGGGGTGGACGAAATTTACCCCCGCCCCCAATTCCACGGTGCGTGTCAACTGTCAAGTTCTTGTATCCTGGGACTGAGCTCCGGGATAGACGACGTGAACGGTCCCCAGTGGTGCTGACATTGCTGACATTACAGACACAATATCCTGGGATTGAGCTCCGGGATAGACGACGTGGGCATTCCCCAATGACACTGACATTGCTGACATTACAGACACAATATCCTGGGATTGAGCTCCGGGATAGACGACGTGGGCGTTCCCCAGTGGTGCTGACATTGCTGACATTACAGACACAATATCCTGGGATTGAGCTCCGGGATAGACGACGTGGACGTTCCCCAGTGGTGCTGACATTGCTGACATTACAGACACAATATCCTGGGACTGAGCTCCGGGATAGACGACGTGGGCGTTCCCCAATGACACTGACATTGCTGACATTACAGATACAATATCCTGGGACTGAGCTCCGGGATAGACGACGTGGGCGTTCCCCAATGACACTGACATTGCTGACATTACAGACACAATATCCTGGGACTGAGTTCCGGGATAGACGACGTGGGCGTTCCCCAGTGGTGCTGACATTGCTGACATTACAGACACAATATCCTGAGATTGAGCTCCGGGATAGACGACGTGGGCGTTCCCCAATGACACTGACATTGCTGACATTACAGGCACAATATCCTGGGACTGAGCTCCGGGATAGACGACGTGGACGTTCCCCAGTGGTGCTGACATTGCTGACATTACAGACACAATATCCTGGGACTGAGCTCCGGGATAGACGACGTGGACGTTCCCCAGTGGTGCTGACATTGCTGACATTACAGACACAATATCCTGGGACTGAGCTCCGGGATAGACGACGTGGACGTTCCCCAGTGGTGCTGACATTGCTGACATTACAGACACAATATCCTTGGACTGAGCTCCGGTATAGACGACGTGGGCGTTCCCCAGTGGTGCTGACATTGCTGACATTACAGGCACAATATCCTGGGACTGAGCTCCGGGATAGACGACGTGGACGTTCCCCAGTGGTGCTGACATTGCTGACATTACAGACACAATATCCTTGGACTGAGCTCCGGTATAGACGACGTGGGCGTTCACCAGTGGTGCTGACATTGCTGACATTACAGACACAATATCCTGAGATTGAGCTCCGGGATAGACGACGTGGGCGTTCCCCAATGACACTGACATTGCTGACATTACAGGCACAATATCCTGGGACTGAGCTCCGGGATAGACGACGTGGACGTTCCCCAGTGGTGCTGACATTGCTGACATTACAGACACAATATCCTTGGACTGAGCTCCGGTATAGACGACGTGGGCGTTTCCCAGTGGTGCTGACATTGCTGACATTACAGACACAATATCCTGGGACTGAGCTCCGGGATAGACGACGTGGGCGTTCCCCAATGACGCTGACATTTCTGACATTACAGATACAATATCCTGGGACTGAGCTCCGGGATAGACGACGTGGGCGTTCCCCAGTGGTGCTGACATTGCTGACATTGCAGACACAATATCCTGGGACTGAGCTCCGGGATAGACGACGTGGGCGTTCCCCAGTGGTGCTGACATTGTTGACATTACAGACACAATATCCTTGGACTGAGCTCCGGGATAGATGACGTGGGCGTTCCCCAGTGGTGCTGACATTGCTGACATTGCAGACACAATATCCTGGGATTGAGCTCCGGGATAGACGACGTGGGCATTCCCCAATGACACTGACATTGCTGACATTACAGACACAATATCCTGGGACTAAGCTCCGGGATAGACGACGTGGGCGTTCCCCAGTGGTCCTGACATTGCTGACATTACAGACACAATATCCTGGGACTGAGCTCCGGGATAGACGACGTGGGCGTTCCCCAGTGGTGCTGACATTGCTGACATTACAGACACAATATCCTGGGACTGAGCTCCGGTATAGACGACGTGGACGTTCCCCAATGACACTGACATTGCTGACATTACAGACGCAATATCCTGGGACTGAGCTCCGGTATAGACGACGTGGGCGTTCCCCAGTGGTGCTGACATTGCTGACATTACAGACACAATATCCTGGGACTGAGCTCCGGTATAGACGACGTGGACGTTCCCCAATGACACTGACATTGCTGACATTGCAGACACAATATCCTGGGACTGAGCTCCGGGATAGACGACGTGGGCGCTCCCCAGTGGTCCTGACATTGCTGACATTACAGACACAATATCCTGGGACTGAGCTCCGGGATAGACGACGTGGGCGTTCCCCAGTGGTGCTGACATTGCTGACATTACAGACACAATATCCTGGGACTGAGCTCCGGTATAGACGACGTGGACGTTCCCCAATGACACTGACATTGCTGACATTACAGACGCAATATCCTGGGACTGAGCTCCGGTATAGACGACGTGGGCGTTCCCCAGTGGTGCTGACATTGCTGACATTACAGACACAATATCCTGGGACTGAGCTCCGGTATAGACGACGTGGGCGTTCCCCAGTGGTGCTGACATTGCTGACATTGCAGACACAATATCCTGGGACTGAGCTCCGGTATAGACGACGTGGGCGTTCCCCAGTGGTGCTGACATTGCTGACATTGCAGACACAATATCCTGGGACTGAGCTCCGGTATAGACGACGTGGGCGTTCCCCAGTGGTGCTGACATTGCTGACATTACAGACACAATATCCTGGGACTGAGCTCCGGGATAGACGACGTGGGCGTTCCCCAATGACGCTGACATTGCTGACATTACAGACACAATATCCTGGGACTGAGCTCCGGGATAGACGACGTGGGCGTTCCCCAGTGGCGCCTCGTGCTGACACTGCTGCTCGCCTGGATCATGGTGTACTTCATCGTGTGGAAAGGCATCAAGTCCTCCGGCAAGGTCGTCTACTTCACCGGTGAGTGGCAGACAAGGTGGTCAACTTCACCGGTGAGTGGCAGACAAGGTGATCAACTTCACCGGTGAGTGAGAAAAGCGTTCACAGCTGGCTGAAATTCTTGCGCTTTTATGACCATGCGGGCTAGTCAAAATCGATTCAGTATCATGGCAACGTCCAGACAAAAATTTTCAGCGGCTGTGTTCAGTGAATACCGGGTGTGACGGAGTTCATAGAGCCGCGGGGCCTCTGCTGACTCCCCCTGGTCGCCACCCACGCTCGTATTTCTACCATGCCGTTCGTGTGTGCCGCTCTCTGTGTGCTGCTGTTGCTGTGCTGTGTCTGACTCTCCCTGTGCCGCTGTGGCTGTGCTGTGTCTGACTCTCGCTGTGCCGCTGTTGCTGTGCTGTGTCTGACTCTCCCTGTGCCGCTGTTGCTGCGCTGTGTCTGACTCTCCCTATGCTGCTGTTGCTGTGCTGTATCTGACTCTCCCTGTGCCGCTGTGGCTGTGCTGTGTCTGACTCTCCCTGTGCCGCTGTGGCTGTGTCTGACTCTTGCTGTGCCGCTGTGGCTGTGCTATGTGTGACTCTCCCTGTGCCGCTGTGGCTGTGTCTGACTCTCCCTGTGCCGCTGTGGCTGTGCTGTGTCTGTTTCGTTGTGCTGTTGCTGTGCTGTGTCTGACTCTCGCTGTGCCGCTGTTGCTGTGCTGTGTCTGACTCTCCCTGTGCCGCTGCTGCTGTGCTGTGTCTGACTCTCCCTGTGCCGCTGTGGCTGAGTATCTGACGCTGAACCATCGCCCACAGCCACCTTTCCGTACATCATGCTGTTCGTCTTGCTGGTGCGGGGCGTCACCCTGCCCGGCGCCAAGCTGGGCATTCTGTTCTACCTGACCCCCGACTTCGGAAAACTGCTGGAGGCGCAGGTAATTAGAAATACACTCACACTGCTGGAGACGCAGGTAAGACTAACACACTGCAGGGCTGTCTAATACATTGCCGGTAGGCTCTAACCGCTCGCTTCCTTCGTCCCTCATAGTGCTATCGCAATCCCTAAAAAGATTATTGCTCAGCACCTATCGATAGGTATTACCGACCGTTACCATGCTGACCCGTTCCGTCGCTCCCCCCCCCCCCCCCCGTTGTCGGTCAGGTCTGGATAGACGCCGGGACGCAGATTTTCTTCAGCTACGCCATCGCCCTGGGCTCGATGACGGCGCTAGGATCGTACAACAAGTACAACCACAACTTCATACGCGACTGCACGCTGCTCTCCGTGGTCAACAGCTGCACCAGCCTCTTCGCAGGTGAGGAGTCCTCGGCGACACGACACGAGATCGCACCAGCCTCTCCGCAGGTGAGACGCGCTCGGTAACACGCCACGAGACTTCCTCTTCGCAGGTGAGGCACCCTCGGCAACACCAGCTTCTTAGCAAGTGAGGCATCCTCGGCGAGACCGCAAGAGACTGGGAACAGAGCAGAACACGCGAAAACAGTTGTACCAACCTCTTCGAAGGTAAGGTGACCCGGCGATACCGCACCAGCCTCTTCGCAGGTGAGGTGCCCTCGGCGAGACTGCACGAGACTGCGAACTGGGGAGGACACGCGGCAACAGTTTTACCAGCATCTTTAAAGGTGAGGTGATCCCGGCGACACGACACGATACCGCACCAGCCTCTTCGCAGGTGAGGTGCCCTCGGCCAGACCGTACGAGACTGCGAACTGGGAAGGACACGCGGCTGGCACTACCCGCCCCAGATCGCGGATCGTTAACTTCTCAGTTTCCTGCTTAGTGCATAAACTGTTCCTTTACACCTGGAATGATCTCCTGATAACTGACAAACCCCCAGGAATCACTGATGCTAGTTGTCCCCATCTTATGTGAGATGTTTCACAACGTTTCGGCCACTTACTTCTCCGCCCGTCGTCAGGTGTTCTTTGGTCCTTAGCAGGACCTGGGTGTTGTTGGCGTTGCGCCGTAAGTGTCATGCCTTTCGAAAGTTTCTGTGGTTAGCGGGGATTGAACTTGAGTTCCCCCGGTCATAAGCCACGGTTCTAGCCACTCCACTATCGAAGCAGACAAATCAACCAACTCCCCAGGAACCCCACAGCCTACGTGTCTTTGCCGGCGACGTCTCCTGCGTCCCTCGGCGCAGTCTCCCAGTAAACATGCCGACGTCGGCCCGACGTCGGCCGACGTCGGGGTGACGTCGGCAACTCGGCATCGGCATGCCGACGTCGGCCCGACGTCGGTCCAACCTCGGCACGACGTCGGCTGGATGTCGGATATGCCCGCATGTTCCGACGTCCAGCCGAGGTCCAGCCTACGTCGGGCCGACGTCGGACCGAGATCAATTGCTGAGGTCCAGCCGACGTCGGGCCGACGTCGGGGCGACGTCGGACCGACATCGGCCGCTGTTTTGACCGTTAAAATAAGATAAAATACATGTTTCATGTTTCATAAAGAGCTTCTGTATTCAAAATATCCTCAGGAAACTCAAATCTTCCTCCACGCCGAAACCCCTGATCCGGGCTGGACGGGAAACTTTATCTCATTTGGGATTGCCCGTAAGCCGAGCTCGCCCGTAGCCGGGTGCGGTGAGTGCTTGGGGGCTGCTCGGCCTATCCTTTGGTCAGGCTCAGCCCCGGCAACTCACCAGGGCCGGGCCCAGTTCATATAGAAAGGCCAGTCGGCAAGTGTCACTTTGCCAAAGTGCCACTTATCAAAGGGACACTTTGGGAAACGTTGGTGCAGGTGTGTAAGAGTGGCTATATGAATCCATTGTGGGGTCGCCCTTTCCAATAAGTGTCACGTAACAGCAATGGGACCAGGGACTCTATATGAACTGGACCCAGGGTGCTCGTCAAGAAGACCAATGTCTCCATCATATCATCCTTCCGGCTCTGAAATGGTCTTGTCAGACCGAAAGGGCATAACCCAACAAAACAAACTCAATTCGCTATCTGGCTGCGTGGTGTAGTGATTAGCGCACTAACCTCCCGTTCAAATGACACGGGGTTCGAATCCCATCGCCAGCTGATGCTTTTGGCGTGTTGTCCCAGTAAACATGTCGACGTCGGCGACTGGCGGGCCCGCCGCCGCCGGTTGATATTTTTTGCGCGTTGTCCCAATAAACATGCCGACGTCGGCCCCGTCGGTCCAACGACAAACGATCTCGTCAACCTCGGCAAACGATCTCGGCCCGACGTCGGCTCGACGTCGGCTGGACTACGGCTGGACGTCGGAACATGCGGGCATATCCGACGTCCAGCCGATGTCGGGCCGAGGTTGAACCGACGTTGGGCCGACGTCGGGCCGAGCCTCGGCCCGACGTCGGGCCGACGTCGGCATGTTTACTGGGTCTAAGCTGTCTGCAGATTCTGGAAGTGCACTCAGCACTGTCAGCGGAATGCCTGCTGTTGAGTGTCCATGACAGGTTGGATGATGATGTAAATAATAAGCAAATTATTACAAATGCATTCAAATGCATTCTCTTTTTGAATATATATGAATGCATTTGTAACAATTTGTTTATCATTTACATCATCATCCAATGCCTGCTGTCATATCAACATCCACCCATTCCAGGGTTCGTGGTGTTCAGCGTACTCGGCTGTCTACTGTAGGTATATGGTCTGTTCTGTTGTATGATCTTCTTCTTCTATGGTTCTTCTGTTGTGTATGGTCTGTATATGGTTCTGTTCCTCTGTGTTCCAGGGTTCGTGGTATTCAGCGTTCTCGGTTTCATGGCCACCGAACAGGGTGTCACCGTTGACGTCGTGGCAAAGTCAGGTGAGAAAGTAGTCGTCTTTGGGCCGAGAATGCCATACTTGTCATAGGTATCATAGTCCTTAGAATGTAGAGCCATTGAGAACAAAAATAAGATTAAAACATGACAAGGGTAGCTTCCGCTGGCAGGACCGGGTCTGGCGTTAATCGCCCTCTCCCCCTGGCAGGACCGGGCCTGGCGTTAATCCCTCTCCCGCTGGCAGGACCGGGTCTGGCGTTAATCGCCCCCTCTCCCGCTGGCAGGACCGGGCCTGGCGTTAATCCCTCTCCCGCTGGCAGGACCGGGTCTGGCGTTAATCGCCCTCTCCCCCTGGCAGGACCGGGCCTGGCGTTAATCCCTCTCCCGCTGGCAGGACCGGGCCTGGCGTTAATCGCCCTCTCCCGCTGGCAGGACCGGGCCTGGCGTTAATCCCTCTCCCGCTGGCAGGACCGGGCCTGGCGTTAATCCCTCTCCCGCTGGCAGGACCGGGCCTGGCGTTAATCCCTCTCCCGCTGGCAGGACCGGGCCTGGCGTTAATCCCTCTCCCGCTGGCAGGACCGGGCCTGGCGTTCTCCCCCTGGCAGGACCGGGCCTGGCGTTAATCCCTCTCCCGCTGGCAGGACCGGGCCTGGCGTTTATCGCCTACCCGAAGGCGGTGTCGCTGATGCCGCTGGCGCCGCTCTGGTCCATCCTGTTCTTCGTGATGCTGCTCACGCTGGGCCTGGACTCGCAGTTCGTGGCCGTCGAGGGCTTCGTCACCGCCATCGTCGACCTCTACCCGCAGTACCTCAGGTACCGTACCCGCAGTACCTCAGGTACCGTACCCGCAGTACCTCAGGTACCGTACCCGCAGTACCTCAGGTACCGTACCGTCAGTACCCCAGGTACCGTACCCGCAGTACCTCAGGTACCGTACCCGCAGTGTCTCAGATACCGTACTACAGTACCTCAGGTACCGTACCCTCAGTACCTTAGGTACCGTACCCGCAGTACCTCAGGTACCGTACCCGCAGTACCTCAGGTACCGTACCCGCAGTACCTCAGGTACCGTACTACAGTACCTCAGGTACCGTACTACAGTACCTCAGGTACCGTACCCGCAGTACCTCAGGTATCGTACCCGCAGTACCTCAGGTACCGTACCCGCAGTACCTCAGGTACCGTACCCTCAGTACTACAGGTACCGTACCCTCAGTACCTGAGGTACCGTATCCGCAGTGTCTCAGATACCGTACTACAGTACCTCAGGTACCGTACCCTCAGTACCTCAGGTACCGTACCCGCAGTACCTCAGGTACCGTACCCGCAGTACCTCAGGTACCGTACCCTCAGTACCTCAGGTACCGTACCCGCAGTACCTCAGGTACCGTACCCGCAGTGTCTCAGATACCGTACTACAGTACCTCAGGTACCGTACCCTCAGTACTTCAGGTACCGTACCCGCAGTACCTCAGATGTCGTACTACAGTACCTCGGGTACGGTACTTGCAATTCCTCAGGTACAGTACTAAAGTACCTCAAGTACTTATCGTTAAATGATTAACGTTTGCGTGGTAACAATTATTAATCCTATACATCACAATACATCAATTTTACTCGACTGACAGATAATGAAATTGCGTGGCGTGTCCCATGTGATGTCATCTGCAGACCGTATCCAGTGACGTCATTCTGTGTCTATTTTCAGGGTCGGCCGGCGCCGGGAGATATTCATTCTGGTGACGTCACTGGTCGGGTTTCTGCTCGGCCTGTTTCACGTAACCAATGTAAGTGGCTGCCACCCGGTCTGAACGGAATATACCTGATGCAGGTAACTAGGCTTATCCTATTCAGACTGGACACGACACTGGACAGTGCAGGGTATATCACTACAGAAGCAATGCCTCGTGACATTCGTGCCCGATGAGATGAAGTGTTCTGTTTTAATGTGTCACTCATTTTGCACCGGTTAGGGGAGAGCGGGGCCAGTTGAAACACGGGGTCAGATGAAACATGGCTTTATTTTCAACAGTATGCAACATATGGCGTTGCCGACTCCACTGCGCATCCGCGCTCGACCACTTCCTTTGTCAACGGCGTTTGGGCGGCAAACGGACGGTAATTTTGATTTGACACTTGTTTTTGTGTTTTTGAGGGGCGTTTGGGAGAAATCGTTCTTATGAATATTTTGTGATATCTCATATACCTTTGTTTGCTGAAAGAAGAACTCCTGGCTCCGGAATAACACCTTATTTGGCCCTTCATTCAGCATGATGCCGTCCCTCCAGCTCGTTTGACATGTGCTTTACGGCGCGTGCGAGATGGCGGGAGCGGATGGGGTCAATTGAAACGCTTCTCTGAGGGTCAGTTGAAACAGGGCCACAGGCCGTTTCAATGGACCCCGGTGACCTTTGCAATGGTTATTGTTCAGGAGCTGTAAACATTAAAGGAAATAGTCCACCTTTGAAATGAGCTTTTAACCCATTTATGCCCAGGAATATTGACCATCATGAAAATCGATGAAATCAAGATATGTTACGCTTCTACCAGGGCCTTGCATGGAATCGAAAATATTTTTTGCCGGCAGCAAAAGTTTTTCGAGAAAAACGTAAAAAACGTGCGTTGCGAAATCGCAACGAAGGGCACACCGGGCGCCATCAGCGTTGCGAAAACGCAACGACGGGCACATCAGACGGACATAAAGTACACTAAACCGCCGTATATGCTAGTTTGTTTTAACATATATTTCACCAACTGTTGAAAAATATTGCTTGAGAATGCGGAACCCACATCCCTCTTGCTTTATTACCCGCCTAAGAGCCTCAATGAAGGAGCATAACTTAACCCTCGCCCGTAAACGGCTTTCTGCCACCTTCGCCCATGCAGGGGGGGGGGGGTTGGTGCGACCCCCCCCTTGGCGTTTGAAAACGGAGCGTCGTAGAGCTTAGCGGAAAAGACCAACGGATTGCTCTCAACGAGATCTCGCGATTGGTGGTATATTTTTTGGTCCTAGGTCAACATTTGACCTACTTTTGACCGGTCAAAGGTCAAATTTTCGGAAAAATAGACTTTTTTCAACTTTCGGCGGCGATTGCGGCAAAACGGTGGGAGATATCGACTTGAAACCTTCACTATCGTGTTCCTTGATCAATTCTCTATCGTTTGGTATGTATTTCGTTTCCCTAGCTCTAAAAATGGCGCGTTGGGAGCGCCGGAAGTCGGCAAGGTCACAGTCGGCGGCAGAAATTCGAAAAATCAAAATTTAAATTTTTGAAATCTGATTGTATTTTTGGATTTGGGAGGTCCATTTGCTCCCTATAGAAGCTAATATTGCTGCATATTCCCATTGAGGTGACAAGAATTAGCAAAATAGTGGTTCGGGCGCTTTTCAAAAATAGTACCGGACGCTGTTCCTCTTGTGACGTCATAGCTCCGTGACCTGACCTGACCCGGTCAAGTTTCTTATACCATATGATAGCCAATACCTGCCCCAACATGCATGGAAAGTTTCATCACGATCCATCAACCGATCTTCGTACCACCGGCAGGAAACCTCGGGCGTTGGCACTCAGTTTGTGAAAATCCGGCCGGAGGCTGTTCCCTTTGTGACGTCATAACTCCGTGACCTGACATGACCCGGTCAAATTTTTTTTTATCAAAAGATGCGCAAGGTTTGCCCCATAAGGTACCCAAAATTTGGCGGCGCTGCGCGCCGCCGTTTTTGCACTATTTCCGAAAAACCTCAGGGGGGGGGGTTGCACCAACCCCCCCCTACATGGGCGAGGGTTAAGGGTTCGCGAACGGGGAGATGGCAACAAACGTTCATTATCAACAACAATTTATTTATTATTTATTTATTTATTTCACATCGTGACTGTCCTTTCCATCATACAATGGCTGTTCTTGGCAGTCGTGTCCAATAATCACGGAATTGGGAATCGTATGCACATCATTCAGGACAGACAAACAATATACGACCATACAGCGTGTAAAAATATACCTCATCATGCAGTGTTCTTCTTAAACAGGGAGAACTAGTCATCGCCATACTGTTCCCTCAGCAGCATCGCCCGGTACTCCTTCTTAAATCTGTGCAGGCCTAGCTCGCGGAGTGCTGCTGGGAGGCTGTTATACATGGTCACAGCGCTATACAGAAATCGACGGCGGCCGGCCTCCGTTCGGATCATAGGCGTGTCCAGATGATCGGCTTGTCGAGTGCCGCGGCCATGCACGCTCCCTCGACACGCTATACTAGCACGCAGAACCTCGGGCTGTCCCGTGGCGAGCATCTTCTTCAGCAGCATGACTGATTGAAATCGCCACAAGTTCTCAGCTGAGAGCCATCGCAGTTCTCTCATGACGTCACTTATATGATCGAACTTTCGGCGACCCGAGACAACCCGAGCGCCGAAGTTCAACAGCCTCTGAAGCCTACTGGTCTGCGTGACACCGCAGACACCGTAAACACTGATGGCGTACCGAATCGTTGACACAGCCAAAGCCTGCACGAGCGTGACTAGCGTGTCCCTGGGTAGGTAGTGTCTGGTGTGGCAGAGGCCACTCAACACTCCTGTACATACAGCGGCGCACAACCTCGGATACGTGAGTGTCAAACGACAGGTGTGCATCAAATGTGACGCCAAGGTTCTTCGCCGTCGGTGACTGCTCTATGGTGGCGCCCATAAAATCGACCGTGATGGGTGGAAGTTGCCGTGTGTTTTGGCGTGTGCCGATGACCAATAATTGAGTTTTGTCTGCGTTAACTTTGAGACCGTTTTTACGAAGCCAAACTGCGAGCGCTGCTAAATTTTGCTCCATGCACGCCACCAGAGCGTCAGCGTCCCGGGGGCTACCGAACACGGCCAACTGAGTGTCATCACAGTACTGCACTAGACACGTGGCATGCGAGACACTCTCAGGCTGAAACAACGGCATGTCATTTGCATATGCACTGTACAACAGGGGGCCCAAGGCGGATCCCTGGTAGGTGCCAATGGGGTTGGCCAATGGTTGAGAGAGCATGCTACGACCGTCCGGTGTCCGCGTCACAACCTTTTTTTTTTTTTTTTTTTTTTTAATTTATTTCGTTCATATACGCACATATGATGTATAGGTACACGTACATCGTGAATCACATGTCACTCATGTATATGGATGCTTGCACATATTGGGCATGTCACAATGCGAGCGCACCAAACGTTCACAAAAATCGCCCCGCCCCGCATCGCCCCGCGAATCCCACATGTACTCGTTCTCGCTGGGGCGATGCCCCAGGCCGCCGGCCGGGCCCGCGACCCGTCACCCTGATAGGGTGGCGAGCCGCGCGCCCGGCCGGCCGGCCGACCCTTAATAGGGCCGGCCTCCGGTTAGCCGGGTTGGGTTAGGGGCGGGCGGGACACGCTATGCAACAGAGGCGTTTCTTAGAGAAAGCGGGCATGTGAGAGTATGTGTTTGTGTGTGATGTTTGTGTTGTGTGTATAGGTGTGTGTGTGTGTGGGTGGGTGTGGGTGTGGGTGTGTGTTTGCATTTGTGTGTGTGTGTATAGGTGCGTGCGTGTGTGTGCGTGGGTGCGTGGGCCGGAAGCTCCGGGGATGCCGCGGCGACCTTGTTTTCTCAATTAGTTGCTTTGCAGAATTTGTGCGAGTGTTCCCCACTTTGTCTGAAATTCGTTCAGTTTGTCCTTTGACTTATATCGATTGTATTCTTTTTGCGCTTCCATCTTCAGCGTATTTAGCATGAAATTGAGAGAAGGGGTGCTTTTATTCAATCGGGCCCTGTGTACGACGTATTTACAAACTGTTATGACAATGATATCTATGCTTTGCATATCGTTAAGAAAGAACCAGTTTGTTATGTTAACGTATATAGCTTTGTTATATCTTTGCTTTATGTGTGATAAAACTTCTTTGATAAATATTTTAACTTTTGGGCAGAACCATAAGAGGTGAACTAGTGTTTCGATCGGTTCTCGACAGAAGGAACATTCGCTCGACGGCTCTATTTTCATTAGATGTAGCGATTTGTTTGTTGGAAATAAGCGTGTAACTATTCTATAATGAAAATACATAAAATAAGTGGACATGGTGGCAAGTAATACATTTTTTGTCGTTCCTATGATGTGACTACCGGTATCTCGTACCCACTTTTCTTTAATCCTCCGGTCGGCTGATATGTGTTTTTGGGTAAGGGATTGAACAAATATGTTGTATGCATACTTCGAAAATTTTTGTTCATTCATCACCAATTTTATTTTAAAAGGTATGTTTGGATTATCAATTGTTATTTTTTCACCGGACCGCAAACAATTTGGGAGGCTACGTACTAAACCCTCGTAGCAGAGAAAGGACATTTTAATTTGATAACTATTTTCTATTTCTTCTCTAGAATACAATTTTTCGGTTGTTTTGTCAAACAAATCGCAAATAAAACGAAGTCCTTTCCTTTCCCATGCAGTGATGATGGTTTTGGAAAATTTAGTATGATCCGAGAACCAGATTGTTTCCGATAAAATTTCTTCTGCGGTTGGTTTATAAACTGTAGCCAGTCTCATAAGGGCGTTTATGATATCTTTGTAGAAAGTGTTAGTTATCTTGGATTTTTCCACAGACAGTTTTTCTTTCCCGTAAGTGAGCAATCTTGTCGCATCGGGTATCTGTGTGTACGCCACATGTGTCCATTCAGCTTTAGATATCATTAACCGCTTCAGCCATGCTAGTTTCATGCTATCGATGAATGCCTTAACATCTACCATCTTCAGTCCATCGCGTTCATACCTTTGGATGAGTTT